GAAAAAGAGCCTGTTTGCAATGTGCAATTGGGGTATTGAGTTATATATATATATATATGAGAATATAAGAGGATTTATTCATGGTCTAAATATACTGTATGTGCATCAAATGTGTTTTCTGATTTGACTTAAAGTTAAAATGTCTTTCCTTCACTCAAAGGGAGTTGCCAGTCATTTCATATCTGTTTCACTCATTCACAACCACCCTGGAGCTACTTCCCCTGTCTTTTACATCCAAACATCATGACAGCAATACGGACACTCACCTTTCCTCTGAGGCGACTGAGCTGGCACCAAACTACCATTGGTCACAAAGGCAGCTCCTTTCCCCTTCCCCTTGTCCCTGAGGGAGAGAGAGGTGTAGGAACATCAGCAGAGATAGAAATGTGGAGTCAGTGACACCTAAACACATCAGTGCTGTGTTGTGCCATGGTCAAATCAAATACACAGTCACATGTCCATATAGATCACACATCTGATCAGATCTTAAAATGCAAAGGTGATTAACAGTTACTTTAAAACAATCCAATGCGATTGGCTTTAATTTGAAATATAATCTTTAGAATTTTAGTCATCACACGCCTGGATTTTAAGTTATCAGAGAGACTGCTGAGCAAACAGAATTAAATTAAAATAGTGAGTAGCTGATCTACCTGTCAGAGGGCACGACTCGGCTCTTGGTTTTAGTGACTGGGTGGCTTCTCTTGTCAGTGTCCTGGTGCTGTGAGGAAGAAAAACAAGTCAGAACATCAGCAGTCAGTTTTCTAAGAGCACCTCTCACATTTAGGTGATTTCCTGTCATTACAGAGTCACTACAAAGTTAGACAACAACTACTACTGGTCTCACACACACACGCTCTCTCTTTCACACACAGAGCGAGTAGAGAGAAGGAGAGAGAGAGACATCCTGTCATGTTTCTAAGATTTTAGTTGGACAATCAAAACATGTATTACTCTTGCTTTTACATTTAATACTTTTTATATAATCCTGCTGACAAATAGTTTAAATTCATGAAAAATGAAACAGGGTGATGTTTAAGTTATTCTAAGTAATAATTTGTACAATCGCAGAAAAGAATAGACTGAGTTGTGATGTTTAGAAGACACAGTCCAGCAGAACAGAGGGTCAGACATTTACTGCGTGTTAAGCCTCTGTTATGACAGTAACTGGAAGAGAGAGAGCTGTTGAGAGAGAGAGAGAGAGAGGATGTGCTTTGTCAGCAACGTGCTTTCTCCCCCCCTCACACACATACATGTAGTCTTGACCTATATCAGTGAGATTAGCGGTGAGTACTCCCATTCACGTGGCACTGTGTAAAACATTCGATGAATTGCATGCACACACACACACACCTCACTGGTAAAAGGCAGACTAACTCTTACTGACCTTCATGTATCTACCATGTATAATGATTAACTACAGTTCGTGGAGTTGTCCTTAACTGTGAACTGTGCTGCTGAAGTTTACAGTTAAGTTAATGATAAACACAGCTACAAACCTCTGCCATACTCTGTGAGACAAGAAAAACATCTTGAACCAGAACAGCCTCCAACCCAACAATCACCTCCCACATAAAGCTCAAGTATACAGTATTTCATAATTAGTGGTGAGTAGTTTTCAGTTGTACAAGAAGCAGGCTTTGAACACTATGTAAAAATTATTCTCATCTATGGGAGGACATAATATTTGTCTTCTTATTTTCAAGAGACACAAGAGGTTGCCAACTCACAATCTGAAATTTTTGGAAGTTATATACCACCACCGATTTCTTACTTCAAGTTGAGTAATCCTTAAACAACTAAAAACATGTTTCCTGTTAAGGAATAATCCATTCATAATTCTCTGTCTGGCAAGTGTAGTATAAGTCTAGTTTAAAGGTGATAGAAAAGTTACAGCAGAAACACTGGCTGTTGTGGTAGACTTTCCTCGCAGGCTTGAATTACAGAGATAGATTGTAATTAAGCTCCTTTAATCTTTAGCTTTACCTGGAATTCAGTTTACAAATGGAAAAGTCTGACTATTCTCACCTATTTCAAATGATATGTGGACAGCAGCTACAGTACAGCAGACGATAAACATTTTAGAATGGGTGGAGTAAAGCAAGCAGCAGTACCTTCAGCTGTTCAGCCTCCTGACTGCTCCTCAGTGCACAGCTCTTCTTCCTCCTCTCAGCAGGACCATTGACCTCTGCAGTGTGCCCCCCTCTCCAACTGTCTCCCTGAGAGGCTTTGGCACTAGAGAGACTGATACAGAGGAAAGTCATTTCATTTGACGTCCTTTCACATGAGTATTTCATCATTCTCATCAATATTAAACTCTGAAAGTATGAATTGATCCATATCTATCACAGTACTATCACTATACACAGTGGTATTACATTTCTAGTTGTTACATTCATGGTTTTATTTTCTCATTGGGATGAAAACATTGCAGAAGCACAGATCAGATCATAGAGGCTCTACTCACCCTTGACTTGGGCTCTTGGTCCCATGCTTTTTCATGTGTCCCTGAACATACGACTCTAAATCTGAGAGACAAATCAAGAAAATGTCATTACAACCGATTTTCATCAAGAATCAAGGTACAGTATGTGATATTAAATGTTTTTCGTAGATGCTTTGACAAGAAAAATGATCAGGACTTCTTTTTATCATGAGCGCTGGCAAATTTGAACATATACATACAGATCACTCCTTTCTAAACTCTAACTATTAGCTGTTACTGCTTGGGACAATGCCACATAAAGTAGGGTTCACTTTATTAATAGGCCAGGTTATTCAAGTAAAGAACATTATTCAGTACTGGTCACATAAAAGGCTCACTTTGATTATTTTTGTTGTTGTAGTAAAATGTTATTTAAAGCTTAAGGAAAAAGAATACAATTTTATTTTATTTCCTTATCCCACACAAGCAGTACTAGTAATGAGTATAACACTGATCCAAAACACAAGATTTCCCCGCATGGACTGGGCACTGACCTATTCTGAAGTTTGAGCCCAGTCAGGACTGTGACTGCTGGCGCTGAACTCAGTCCTGCACACGAGCAGGCAAATATAGCTTTGAAATATGAGGATTTGAAACACACTCGGCCTTTCTCAGCAACCTCCAAAAATAAATGCTAGTCAGCTTTTCGAGTTTAGTATTTAGCGTAAGCTGTGACTAGAGTGGCAGTGGTGGGGCTGTTCCTTTGTAAACACACTCAGGTCTGATTCACTGTTTATACAGGCTCCAGTGCATTTAATTCACACTACTCTTTGCTCTGCCAATACTGCTCCACACAGAGGAAAACAGAGGAAATAAGCTGTGATGGAATTTTACTTCCTCTCACCTTCTTCCTGACTGGAGGCATCGGAGCAGTCTCCTTGGTAGGCCTTTCCCAGCTGGCAGTTGCCTATAGAGAAAAAGATTTCTTGATTTATGTCCAGATCTAAAGGTATCATATATGGGAAATAATGATGAACCATCCATGGCACCACACCAACCACCTCCAAGGCACGATATCACAAATCTTTGATACCATAGCATATTTTTCATATGTGGTTTCATATCTGTGACTGGAACAATGATAGAATTGAAAAACTAAATAGTTTGTTGTTCTTATGTAAATAATTCTACCATGTGTGGTCTGACTGTAAAAAACTAATTTTATCTCAATGCCCAGGCACATTTCTAGAACTATTCAAGTCATGATGAAAGCATGTTTAATAATTGTGGAGTGACACTCCTTAAACAGAGCCTTTGCCAATACTAATGTTCTTGCCCTTTTGAATACAAGTCAAAATATATTCACTGAACTTAAACATGAGGACTAAGAAAAGAGTTTGTGATGTATCAAAGTACATTGAAAGTACACAGAGAAAATGAGTCTGTTCTGTAACAGGAGGACAGAAGTATGACAAAGACTGCAAAGAGCAGATTAAATGTTAACCCATTCCAAAGGTATCATGTCATTCTTAGTTTGATACTCACATCTGCAAGTACTGGGTTTAGCAGAGTAAGTGGAGTCACAGTTGAAGAAGCTGCAGACCTTTCTGGTTTGTCTGAAGACTGGAGGAGCAGACAGGAACCTTTCCCTGGAAACACAAAGTCACACACTTCCTTAATCACATATATTTTATTCTGTATCTATAAGAAGGGATGAATTCTATGAAAAGACAGTTTCGTACTTGCATCACTGTGTGGCTATGATCAAACCATGACACCACACTGTAGTGCCTCACTGATAAAACAACAAACATGTGCTACCATCTGGAGCTGTCTTGTAACGACAATATGTTGCAGTTATACTAACATACTGTAGTTAAAATAATAGAACAAAAATCTTTCCCCTGTCAACAGTGGCGCCGAGACCCATAAAAGGCAAGAGACTCGCAAATACAAGCAGCAACAATGTTTGCAATGCAGCTGGATTTGGGGCTGAGTTACTGGTGAAAAGCCCGAGCTCCAAGTTTCCTTTCACACGAAATGAAACTGATGGACACAGTGCCGTGTGTGTGTGTGTGTGTGTGTCTGTGTGTGTGTGTGAGGAAAAAGGGTGTGGCTGGCTCTGAAAATGAGCCTTACCTCTTCACACCCATCCAACCCTGACATTTAAAGGTCCAGCGTGTAAGATTTAGGTGAAAGGGATCTATCAGCAGAAAGTGAATTTAAAATGATCTTTGTGATGTTTTCACTTGTGTGTTTCATCTAAATTACACATCACTGTTTTCTTTACCCTAGAATGGGCCATTTATATTTAAATACTTTATATTCACATCAGGTCTGGCTCCTCTCTATGGACACCTTTTGAGTTTTTACTACAACTGAAGGCTGCCACAGGTTCTCTGTCATGTTTGGAAGGTGAGGGTGCAGTGAGGGGTATTCAGCTGCAACATGAATCTTCACCACAAGATGTCACTAAATTCTACACACTGAACCTTTAATGCCCATCATGAGTAAATATCCACAAATATGATCAAACCAGTGATACTCGTCTGTACACTACAAACAAGAAATACTAACACACAAGGTTTTCAAAATATAGGATTAAATACAGAATGGAGTGCACACCTCCAATCAGTAGCTTGAATTCAATCAAGCAGCACCAAATTGCACACACTTATAGCAGTTCCCTTAATGTGCATGGGATTTTTATCAAGATCCATGAATGATTTCCTGGGAAAACGATTCCAATTTTTAAAAAGGCAATATTTCACAATGCTCAAGAAAGTGAAAGAAAGATTCCTGGATCCGCACCAAAACTTTGTATGTATGACGAGCAGATGGACTACTGAAAATAAAATGCATCTGGGGAGGGTGTGAATTTGGATCATGTTGCCGAGGTGAGGGATGCAGCCGTGTTGAATCACTTTTCTGAATAACCACAGACTGTAGAGCTTCATCAATTACAATAAGTTATGATGTCATGTGACAACCAACAGCTCTTTCACATCAATGGTTATTGAATATCTATAGTGACTTAACATCTTTGACTTGGATTTCTACAGGTGAGAATACCAATTTAAATTCCGAAAGTGTGGGTGGTAATTTTTTCTTTACTGCACTGTGACACAGATTAAAATTGTTTTCCAGATTTATTGCACACAGGAAATGACCCTGAGACAGACATTGACCTTTTTCCACTTGCAGGACTCAGACTGCAGCCTTGACCGAAGACAAGGCTGCAGTCTGTAACATTTTAATGTGTCAAAAAAGATTGAGATGCTATCTATCATGAACATTTCCCACATCGCAGATACTGATTCTCACTAAAGGAAACCATTGAGGTGATAGTCATTTTGAGAATGCTCAAAAATACTTCAGCTAATTATGTAAATATTAATGGGACAAGTGAAATGTACCTGAGGTTCTTCTCCACCTCTCTGCTCTCATACTGGTCGCCCTGGTTCAGAAGCCTCAGGATGCTCTTCTCAAAAGACTCAGTGCACTGATCCTTAGGAAGCTGCAGAGATAGAAGAAAGGTAAACAACAGGCAAGATTCACTGAGAAACAGGTTTGTGCAAATAAAGCAATCATCCCCTGCATGTTTACAACTGCAAGTTGTCTGTTAACATGTCTCATCTGCAATGAAATGCAAGTATAAAGTGGAGAAACTGTTAAGAATTTTTTCTTGTTTACTTCCAAGTAAATCATCTTGTTCTAATCATGTTATTCTGTGCCTGAAAGTTATGTTTGTAGAAAAGGTTGACATCACCCTTTATTTCTTGCCTATCGTTCCACACTAAAAGCTTACTTAAGGCTTTTAAGTCAATGCTAATGAAGTGTGGCTGGTAAGGAACTGGAGTTTTCCATTTCTGCAGGACTCATAACTTGGCAATTTTGTTATTGCAATTGAAGGGTGTTTAAATATATATATATCTTCAACAAAAGTGCACATTTTACCTTAAGAAGGAAGTTTTCCAGTTCCAGGTGGGTTTTGGTCACACGGGTCGAAGAAGAGTCTGACCACTTCACCTGAAACACAGCAGAGAACGACCTCCATCACTACATGGACTACGGTGAGAAAGCTTGACGAAAACAATGTAAACAAATCCAAACTAAGTGGATTCCATCAAACTCATTAACATGATCCATATTTGGGATCACATTGTTCAAGACCAAAAATCAAGTTGACAAAAATACAAACTGGTCACATTAACTACCTATGGTAGTTTCCCCTTACTATTGTTGAGGGTTAAGGACAAAGGATGCCCTATGAGACAAATTGTAAATATGGGCTGTACAAATAAATTTTGATTAATCAATGAACACTCATGGTGTCTCCTGAATCCCAAACTCTGACAGACACACTGATAAGTGTGAATCAAAGTGACAGAGGCCAGAACATGAGCAGTGCCTGTCTCTGCTCTGTAAATCTTGTCCAACTGAGAAAAGGAGAGCGAGAAGCTGCAGTTCTTCTGTAGGGGCTGTCCACAGTGTGGGTGTGGGACAGGGCCAGATAAGCCCCCAGGGACAGTTCTAAATAGCAAACTTTGACTTATCACGTAACAACTATGGGGACACACGTCTCAACACCAGCTGGTTATATTTTCTTATGACAAGTCAAGACGTCAGTGAGAATATCTTTTCTAAACTGGATTTGTTTTGATTATTTTAGTGTAGATAATGAATTCAGTTCCCGTTAATGACCTCAGAACCACAGACAGTGAAAGTTTGGTTTGGAATCCAGTACAGTGTGGTAACAGAGTAAGACTAATGGTCTGTTGGCTGATTCTGGTATTCAGTGTTCCCAGTAAAACAGCACATAAATTTAAGATAAGTGTGTAGATGTTGACGAGAGGGGAAATATCAATCCATATAACTTTCTGGAAAATATGGATAACACACTGAGTGAAATGAATTTACTGTCAGTACTAGCAACAGTCCAGCGCAACATATACGTCATACATGCTACAAAGTGCAATGAAGGTATTTACTGCTGTAGCATCCCTGTGATACAATAAGCTGCTTATGTGTGTGGAATGTAATATGAGGGTTTGTGCACTAGTTTGTGTTTGAGGTGAATTGATGAGGCATTACTGTTCTACTTGGTTAGTTGTAGTCGGTCATGCAAGTTAAACACAGATATAGATAAGAGTCCATTCTCTACACAGATACTGCAGCACAATCCCTTTTTTTCTTAGCGTGTCCAGTTACCTAGCTCAGCTAAAGATGCAACAATTTGGTAAATTAACTTTTATGAGGGAAAATGAAGCAAGATTTTCACGTCATAAATCAAACCCCCACAATCCTCTTTCCTCAGAGGGTTTATGGGTGATACGCACATACAGTACACACGCACGCACACATATATTTCTGATGATACACATCTAAAGATCTACAACCCCACAGAAGTATAAATGTTTTAACAACAGAAACATTCATCTACCTAATAGAGATCAAAAAGACACTACCACTTCCCAGTAATTAAAAACGTAACTATCTGTAATGGATATTAATTATGCTACATGATGGAATCATTGCATGCCTATTTAGCTCATGCTTGCAGATATGAACACGTGAGAATGAGTGTGATGGGTCTTTGCTCGTGGATCAGTGTCCAGATGGAGAGCTGAATGCTGCTGGCTTCACGATAAAAGCTCAGTCAAGCCAACAGGACGGTTAGTGTCTCATCTCCATCTGTCTTAGCGAATCTCTCTTTCTGTAAGCGAGCACTAAATATGCTTATTAAATACTGTGAATTTGTGTTGAGACAAAATTCATGTTTGAACCGATAAGGTCAACAGTAGTGATGAGCTGCCACAAGATTGGCACAACATTGAGTCACTGTAGAATTGGACACTCGGTTTAGCTGAGTTCACTGCCAACTGGGGCAAAAAAAACTATAAAAGATAATAATGTGTAATCTAAAAATAAAGACACACGCAGAACCTGCAGTTTTTCCCCCCCACATGGCCAAGTGTGATTTGGCTGCGACAAAATACATGGCAGCTACCTCCTGCTCGAACTAGCTAATAATGGTACCACAATGAGATTTTTAAAAAGCCTCATTTCCAGACTAGCACTAAAGTAACAAGCAGAACAAAACAACCAAGATGACAATGACTTGTGCATAAGGTGAGTCTTTTTTTTTTTTCACCTGACAGTGAGGAGATAGAAGTATGAATTGTTGTCAAGTAAATAACACATCCTGACACACACTGCTCATTTAGCAAAAAAATACTACGAACAACCAACCCAACAACTAACAATTTTTAAATGGGGCACCAGCAGGAGCAAGTGTGGTGCACTGTTTAACCATTCAAGGGTCTGTACATATATTTTGCACATCAGTGTTGGGTTGAATGTGGTTTGTGAGAATCTCCCTGAGTCTCTTTAAAGTTTATTCAATTAAATCAGCTTGTGGTTTTTCCAAAAACTATTATTGTTACACTCTACTATTAATATAACTGTTTCATTTTTCAAATGCAGCAAAATGGCCACCGACCAAAGCTAAGAGCGCACATGCAGGAAGCTGTTAGCAGTAGAGCAGAACGCAAGCATGTGTGTGTACACTTGTACTTATGGCTTTGTGAGGACAATTTTGAGAGAAAAAACCTGACTGAGTGAGGACATTTTGGGAAAATGAAAACATTCTGCCTGGTTATGACTTCTTCAATGGGATGTCTGAGGTTTAAGACTTGCTTTTAGGGTTAAGGTCACAAGTTTAAGGTAGCGTTAGAGTTATGCATCTAGTTGTGATGGTTGAGGTTAGGGTAAGGGGCTACGGAATGTATAATGCCAACGAGTTTTCTCAATAAGATAACAGAATGTGAGAGAGTGTGTGTGTGTGTGTGTGTGTGTGTGCGCACACACTACAGGAAACACTAGACATAACTACCATAATCAGGGTCAAGTCTTAGTGAACTTGAGATTACATAGATAAAAATGTCAAATCACACTTAGACAAGACATTTTAAGCCGTAGCAGAGCATTACGTGTGTGTGTGTGTGTGTGTGTGTGTGTGT